GCCAGTTTCTCTAGAAACGTACCCCCATTATTCGGTACCCTCCTATAGTATTATTCCTACTGCTGAACAGCTTAATATCGCATGGCGCTAACGATACCGTATTTTCTTATTAAGAGAAAGACAACTGGATGGCGCATACTCACCTTTTGAACCGCATACTGCCATTGTTAATGGACTGTTGGACTTGTGTAGCTCGCGAAGACAAGCCTTTCCGGCGTGATCTCTTATGACAGAAAGCTCTTTGAGGATAACAGCCTAAAAACAAAGGATAAAATTTTCTTTAAAGATGATGATGTGGATGTGGTAAGTGACTGATTGGTAGCCATTTAAGATCAGGCAAAAAGTTGTAGCGTACATTATTCATCGACCAATAGGTTATTTTCGATTCAATGAAATTCTGACATGGGGGGGGGGGGGGGGGAAATAAAACAAAAACATAAATCATTCATCCCTCAACCTCGATGTGATTTTTTTGGTTTCTTCCCCTAAGCGTCGGAGCCAAGTTTGAATTTGAATAGATCGCAAACGGCCTATTCTCAATCTCCTTGGTTCGTATTTATCATCACATACCTCAAGAGTATCGTCAGCACTACATCCTGGCTGCGTTTGCAACTTGCCTTCTTTAAAATCCTGAATGAAGCTGTCGCACTTGGAATAACTAGAAAACATAACAAATTACCTTAAAGAAACTATAAGAAAGAGTGCGTTTGATGCATTCAACGGAAACTAGACACCAGAATCCCCATTGTGTGATGGACACGCGTATTGCCCGTTGCTAGAATCAGCAATGTCAACAAAATGTACGATTCAAAGCCTAACGACTGAGATGGAGAACAAAACTATAAAAAAAGAGGAGAAAGGGGTCACGCGCAACCTAACACCTCTCCTCCCCCCCCAACTCCATACTCGCCCGCTCTCGCGGTTGTCTTTACTAATTGTGCTCCTATGACAAATCTTGCCAACCAAGATAAATAGAAGCCAGAGAGTTGGGCACTAGAATCGTTGTCAGTATACTTGTGTCTGACCAACTACTCACCCACCCCTCCCCTTACCCAACATCAGTCAACTGATAACAAGCTAGTTTAAGGATGAGTTAGGGGAGGGTTGGGTGAGTAGTTGCTCAGATATTGACATGTGGAATGTGAGATCCGAAGAGCGGAATGTCGAATGATTGACATGGGGTGCGGTTGATCTTTTTAATCTTTTTTTCGCGTGGAAAAAAGACAAAGTTTAGTTTGTAAGTTGTGAAACACATACCCGTTGCTGAGAAGCTCATCCTTTGCCTGCAAAAGCCCGTGGCCAGGCGTGACGTCACCAATTCCAATAGAAAACCCTCTGTTACCTGTAACAAAATTATACAAACGTATTTTTAATTTTTCTCTCTGAAACGTTGACCGACGCACAGAGGGTTCAAATAGCAGCGGCAAAAGGAGTCATGCTTTGAGTCATTTTTCTGAGGCAAACCCACGCGGGCTATTCACCTGGTGCTTACAGGTTTGATTTAGAGGGAGGAAGGAGACCGGTGAACTTGAAAAAACAAGAAGTGGAGTCAAGCTCGAGCTACAGCAACGGAAGGTGTTTACTATTCTAAAGCGCCTTCCCTGTTCCACGAATTGAACAATACAAAACAACAACTTTTCAAATACTGCTGGACAGATTACAAAGTATTTACGGTGTCGCGTGCAAAACGAAAACGTCATGTTTTATTCGCAAATAATTGTTACTGAGTAGACTTGTTACGTTGATCTAATACTCACTCAGAAAGAATGGACAAACTCTTGCCACTCTCCACATGGCATCTGCAGCAGCCTGGCGACGAACATCAAAGTGTTAATTCTCCTAACCTACTTTCTTAATTTTCTTGTATGAGGGTTTTGATGATTTAGTGTGACATCAAGACAGAGTCCATCCCTTCGTCGACATAGCTTTCTATCAATATACTACCAATACGCCATTAGCAGACGCTTCACTCCGCGCAATTTTTGCTAGCAAACAATTGCAGCTTTCAGTTACCTGACCACCGAAGTCTCTGAGGAGCACATAGAAGATACTGTTCTTGGAGCCAGAACCAAGCACAGCTTTATCCAATGCACCACACATCAACTCACTGTTGTGAATTACCACATCTGCCCATGAAAAAGACACATTTGCTACGTTTAACTTTTGGTCTTCTTCTTAAATCAAGACAGAATGGCAAAAAGATTATATTCAGTAGACGAGACTGAATTCCATAACTGCCTAAGTTTATTCGAGTTTCTTTAGCATAAAGTGCAAGAAGTTTTGCTACTCCTCCTTACACTGCTAAATTAGTTCACTACAGGTCACTTCAAATCTTTAAATCAGGTTTCCCTGATAGTTTACTCACAAGAGTCCTTGAAACAGAGATCTTCTTCCTTCGTGTACTGTTTTCCTTTTGTACGTAAATTCATTTTGATTGGCATGTCCTTGTTTGGTCTCAGTATGACATTAAACACCTGTTTTCCAGTCCACAGTTTCACTGGCTGTCAAATGAAAAAAATTGAACCATGCATTTTTATAACAAAGTAGTGAATTTCCAAAACACTCCTCTGGCAAACCTCGTGTTTAGCAAGTTTATTTTTCTGACAAGTGTCTCTGTTCGAACACAGGCATGTTGGTGTTTGTACTGGAGGAATTGTCGAGGAAGCTTGTAACTACCACGCAGAAAAAGAAGGAAGAAAAAGAAACGACAAATTCTTTGGGGATATCTTTCTAGTCCCAGTGCAATTTCTTACTTTTCTTAAACGAAAAAAAAAAAAAAAAGAGCCAACCCGTTAACAACACTCTCACCTTAAGTATAACAGGAGGCGGGAGATCGATTTTGATGTTCACGTCTTTTCCAGCCAGGATGTAAGCCAACAGCTGCGAGATATGGCTTCGATCAAGAAAAACGTCTTTCTGCGTCAGCAGATAGGCCCCTGTACAGAACAGAAATGAAATGTTAGACAATGAATAAGTTTTCCAAACAACCATCGAGAAAATATTGTTGCGGGAGTTAAATTAAGACTTCGAGCTTCAACCAGTGTTGGGTTCCGATGCAATACAACTAATTGACCCCGCGTGACCCGAGTGACCCAAAGGATCCTAACATCCCGAGGGTCCTGGACATGTCAGCATCCCGAGCAGTGTATTCTTGATCTACAGCAAAGTATATATGAATGAGTAGACTGAGCGCGCGTCAAGAAACTTTATTCTCTCGCGCCTAAATTACTGCATCATAACAAAATAAAACAGAAGATGTGTTAAAAGATGTACTCTACAACCTTCATTGAATTTTCAGACCTGTGATAAAATCCTGTATGGCGGCTATGAGAGGTTCTCCATTCCGCGGTGTTACTAAATTCGATTTGACCTGAGGAACAGAGTAAAAATGATCGATTTTGGACACTAGTGCCAGACTTTAGACACTAGTGTCTGATTTTAGACACCAGTGTCCAATTTTGGACACTAACGTCCGATTTTAGACACTAGTGTTCGATTTTGGACACTAGTGTCTGATTTTGGACACTAGCGTGTCTGATTTTAGACACTAGTCTCTGATTTTAGACGCTAGTGTCCGATTTTAGACATTAGTGTCTGATTTTAGACACTAGTGTCTGATTTTCGACACTAGTGTCTGATTTTAGATACTAGTGTCCGATTTTAGACACTAATGTCTGATTTTACACACTAGTGTCTGATTCTAGACATTAGTGTTCGATTTTGGACACTAGTGTCCGATTTTGGACACCAGTGTCCGATTTAAGACACCAGTGTCCGATTTAAGACACTAGTGTCCGATTTTGGACACTAGTGTCCGATTTTGGACACCAGTGTCCGATTTAAGACACTAGTGTCCGATTTAAGACACTAGTGTCCGATTTAAGACACTAGTGTCCGATTTAAGACACTAGTGTCCGATTTAAGACACTAGTGTCCGATTTTGGACTCGTGTGTCGATGGCGCCCGTGAAAACCTGAATCATTACTCTCTAGAGGCAATAGGTATTTCCACAAAGTGCATACCCCTTGATTCACTTCGCTTCTCGAAACTTTCGATGCGGCTCTTTTCCATTTATAAAACTTGTGTCGCCTACGACCCCCATCCCTCCCCCCCCCAAACCCTGACCGCAACCCAGTAACATACCATGATCTTCGTCTCTTCCCCTAGCGTAACAGTATACGTGCGTTCCATTAAGTTTTACGATTCACATATTTATTTATTCTACCTACCCCCATAAGTGTCAGCGCCTCAGCCTTGGCTTCCTCTGTCTGTGGCAAATGAAGATTCATTTCATCGCCATCGAAGTCTGCATTGTAAGGGGTGCATACACATTCATTGAAACGGAATGTTCTGTGAGGTCTTACAACCGCCTACAAGGAAAAATTAGACAAATTCGCTAAGTGACTTAACAGGATACCCGCAAATAAGTCGCCCTCCAAACGAACATCATTGAAACATCACTGAAACATCATTCTTCTTATTTTCGGTTCTACACTTTGAGGCCTCTCGGCTTAGTATGTTTGGTGTCTTTTTTAAGTCCCTGTACCTTTCTGAGTTGATAACGTAGTTTTAAAATTCTTCGAGTGATAGGTCAGTCATAAGAGGTTAATTCTTCCTTGCCTAAAATTCTCTTATTGCAAAAGCTTATCCATAACATGAAGCCACCAGGAGCAAGAGAACATAAGGTAAGTTACCCTTACGTTCTCTTACCAGGAGTCAAGTCCGTCTCCTCTGGATTTGACGATAGTCTTCAGCGAGAGCTTCCCAATGATTTGTCAAGTTTTCCTGAGGCACAGTGAATTACTTTTCACAAATAGTGTAGGTCAAAAAAAAAATTGTTTGTTAAATGTTTTGTTTGTTTGTTTGTTTGTTTAATCGTGGAAGGCATAAAAAAAAGCGACGTATCAATTTTTAAAGGTGATCAGCAAATAAATTTATAACAGAATAAGACGGCTAGAAGACAAAAATCAGACTTGGACGGGTATGGATCTAAGTCGAATACGTTGCCTTAAACGCCTCTATCAAACTAATTATAAGAAAGGTTAGGAGAAGAAATAGTTTCATCACTTAAACAAACCTGATGAGCCATGATGCTGAGCTTGTGAAGTGAGGGTTGTCTGTTGAACAGCACGACATCACCATCTATCAGGTGTCTTTCAACGATATCTCCATACTAAGGAGAACAAAATCCCAACATGAAACATTAACCTTCTCCTGAGAAGAAGTTCACTGAAAACTGATTGGTGAAAGTAACCTGACATCGCATTGCTTTTGCTTCACTTCGCTCTGTGGTTTGTCGACAAAACTCGTACCACCAAGGCCTCTCAACCAGTCAGAGACAAAGCTACATTTAAATCAAAGTACATTAACAAAATATTCTTTGAAAGTTTCCTTCTATCTTAGCTTAAAATGAGGAAAGTTAGCAGATACCTTCAAATCCTTCATGATCTGTTTTCTGTTGCCATACTTGAGAAATCTGGACGAAAACAAAGGAAGATGGGTATGCAATCAGGAACCATTTATTTTGTACAAAATGGGGGTCCCAGGCCAATTAAAGACGGGAGATGTGCATCTATTTTCTCATAGACCATCGTCTAACGCGCAAACGTATAAGAGTCGAAAGGGATTGAAAAATGCAAACACAAAGGGTGGCAGACTGACTTAACTTAAAATAATCACTTTTGACCGTCAATAAAAACCGGTTCATTTCATCCACGAGTGGCTAGCAAAGTGAGTGTGCGAGAGTTCTGTGAGAGGTCTGGTACGACCGTACCCCGTTGACTTCTCGCGCGCTCGAATCGCTTGCCAGCTCGAAAATCGTGGGCTTTTGTCGCAAGGCCAATGAGAGCCTGCTTGCATGCTACACGAAGGCAGGTAAAGAAAGAATCAGCTCACTTTCTAATATTTGTTTGCCGTTGCTGAATGAAGTTGGCTCCAGGATGTTTATCAGCGCCATTCAATATCAGCTGTTTCATCAGTTGTATGTTGGCCTGTGTTACCTGCGAGAATGATACAAAACTTTACAAAAACAAAAAAAACGTATGAAGATCCTGACTGACAAAAAACAATCCTGCATTTTCCAGCTTATGTGATTGTGATTGGTGTTACACGGATGATAAGGAAATAAAACAGTTTTCAACTGAATGTCAAAAAGTACTCCAGGTTTGCATTGGTTTTCGTTTCCTTCACTCTGAGAAAAACAAAAACCAAACGGGACTTGGACTTGAGTTTACTGCGCTTAAAACATTAGCTAGCTGCTTCTTTTTTTTTTTTTATTTTTTTTTTACAGCAATCAAACTGAGCTCTGATAGGGCGCTTTCCGATTGAGAGACGAAAAACCAAAGCCAAATTAATCTCAACGGCCAATCAAAAGAAAGGAAAATATCTTTAAGAGCCAATGAGAGCACAAAATAAAAACAAGCAAACTGCCTTAAGCGGGAAAACGCTGGCGACCATGTCACGAGTTGTTTTAGTTTTGTATCTGATTGGTTGTGAGAGTTGCGCGATTTTTCTGGACCAATCATAGAGCGAAGTAAGAAAAAACTAATGCAATCTCAGATTACTATCGATACTCAAAGGAAACATGCTATAGATAATACTTACTCTTTCTGGGTAAGTGAGCACCTTTGCCACATGCACTGGAACTGCCACCTAGACAAACAATAATGGAACATTTTTTTTTTACCTCGATCAATATTAACCAAAGTCACCTAGAGGGGCCTGACTTACAGATTCTCAAACTAAACAGCCAGAAAAAAAACAAACGTCAAGACTTGCAAGAGAAGGGATCTGCCTTGTGATAAAATAATACCTTAAACGTAAGCAGTTTCAACTTGTTTGATATTTTAATACTCACTTGATCGATGTGAAGGTTAGGGTCTGGTGAGATGACTGTTCGTCCCGAGTAATCAACCCTCTTACCAGACAGATTCCCTCGAAACCGACCTTGTTTCCCCTTCAGTCTCTGTACAAATCCTCTAGACCCTTTCTTGGGCTGATAAAAATATGTTTTAAAGCAGAAATTTAGTTTCGGGTACATCTCTGAAAGTTATTTGATATGTAACCTGTTAGATGCTTACAATGAATGACTGCTCGAGAAATGACCAACTGATTGTAGATTCCGCTGTACAGAACGGCTACTGGTCAGCGCACTTTTTCCTAAAGAGGGGCCAACATATGGAGTAACTTGCATAAAGAACTTAGGCAAAATGCCTCATTGGCATCTTTCAAGCGCGCTCTGCAAGACACACTATTGAGGTAGACATTTCCTTTATAAGCTCTAAAACTTGGTGGAATACTATCTTAAATTCTGACCATGAGTGTTATCGTTATTTATGTGTTTATAAATTGTAAAAAGTTTGTAAATAGTTTCTGAAAAACCTCACGAGGATGTTACTATTAAAGATGATTATTGACTGACTAACTAACTCACCGACACCTACCTGCATACTCAGAGGAATTCCTGACATTTCACTGTTAATATACAAAGCACACTGAAGTTGGAGAAAATCCCAGTCTTCCTGTGGATATAAACAACACTTATCTAAAGTTGTTATCAAGGAGCGTCATGGCAAGACAATGGTGTAAAGTAACAAAATGATATTCTCCACATCTGAATAAAACACAAGTCAGGCCATGGAGTCCACATATCCAGTAGATTATTCATTCAAGATCTTATATGTGATAAGAAGAATCTTAGTTACCCTTTGTTTCCACAAGTAGTCAGCGCAGGCCCTGCACAACAAGAACTGTGTGCTACTTTTATCATTTGAGTTAACAATGATTCTGTCCTAGCGATTATCATTTGTACTTTAGCTCCTGTTGCTCTGTGTAGCCAGCATGGGCCCTGTACAGTCAGAACTGTGTGCTCCTGCTATCATTTGAGCTAACAATGAATCTGTACTAGCAATATTCATTTGTACTTTAGCTCCTGTTGCTCTGTGTAGCCAGCACGGCCCCTGTACAGTCAGAACTGTGTGCTACTTTTATCATTTGAGCTAACAATGAATATGCACTAACCATTATCATTTGTACTTTAGCTCCTGTTGCTCTGTGTTTGCTTATAACGTCATTAAGGAAAAGGATTTCTGTGAGCTTCATGGTAAGATCATCTTCATTGCTATCAGTGAGAGCAAAAAATAAAATTAAAAACCTTTCTTGGGCAACATTTCTCCTCATTATCTTTTTTCATACAAAGCAACTAATTAAAAGAATATTTACAGAATGCTAGCCCTTCAGGTTTATTCTTTATTTTTTATCATTGTTTGTGTCATACAACTGAATTCCTAAGATTGGCCAAAGCCAGAGGCTTAAATGGCTTATGGTCAGAGAAAAATACTAATTTTTGAAAGAACAATAGACTAATCTAAGGTATTCTAATCTAATCTAATCTAATCTAATCAAATCTAGGCAATATACAATAATCGGGGTATATTAGAAGTTTAGTATAATGTTCACAAATTTACAAAGAGCAGTAGATTAATCTAAGTAGTAAACAATAGTCCGGGTATATCAGAAGTTCAGTATAATATTCAATTTTGGTAGCTAAAAATTTAATTCAGGTTCAAGAAGTACAATTTAAGCTTCTTTTTGAAGTTACTAATGGTAAGGCTGTTATGGTTACTGTTATGGTAAGGCTGTTGGTTAAGGCTGTTACTTCACGTTACGGTCACCACCCAAATCTATATCAAGACTCCCTGACACTCTGCCAACACCCTTTATTTCATTCTTCTCCAAGATAATTCAAGTAACCATTAGTTAGGGTAATAGCTGCCTAGTGAGCCATCAATCCCAAAGCACATCCCATTTTCCACATACATTTACAGACAAAAAAAATGGCTACTTTCTCTTTGAGGTGATGTTTGTCTATCACCATCTGTCACCTCCTAAATCAATAGCCATCAGTGAGGAAACCAAATACCAGGGCTCGACAAGAACAGTAGCTAACGAGTCACAGATTAATAGAAATTCAGTTTTGGTCAGTGGTTTTGGATTTCCACTGGCCAGTTTGGCTAGTAAACAAACTGAAATTGTTGTAACATCTAAGTTGTCACTTAAGCCACCTGGCTAGTAAGTTGAAAGGTTAGTGTCAAACCCTGAATGCATTGCTGAATTACACACCTCCCACTCTGTAGATCACTGATGACAGATGGTCTGATGCACACAGGCGGCACCAGCAAACGTGTCACAATAAGATTCTCTGGTCTACCTAACTCAGGTTTCATCATCAACAATGGGCAGTCCTGGAAATGACAGAAAAAAAAAAAAATCAGCAACATAAAAAAAAACACTCATAAAAAAAAAAGTATCTACGTATTGATCTATTAGAGGGTATGTGCTGCACAGGGTTAATAAGAGGGAGTGGGCATTCCCCTAAATGGTAAACAGGTCACCATGGCAACTGAAAGACTGATAATTGGTGGCAGAACAAACTCTAAGTAACAGGATTGTGGAATGAATACTTTCTAGAATTTAGGAGGGAGGGAGGGAGGGAAATGAAGCACTGGCTAAGTAGCTATGAACATTGAGCAAAAGCATGTGGCCATTCCCTCTACAAACCTTGTGGAAACCCTCACACCACATTATTGATACTGCTGCTATATTAATATGGTTTTAACTTGGCTTAAATCAAATTCAGCCTTATTTTTAAAAGGCTCATATCAAATGATGACTCTTGATAAAATCAGCATTCACTGAACAGGCTGAGTAACTAATTTGAAAGCCAGTTAGATTTAAGTTCACACAGCAACCGGGTGGACAATCAGACATGGTTTGATGCTTCTCTAAAAGCCTTTTTTCCACTTAATGGTAATCACTTGAAAAATGCTCCTTGTTCCCTTTGAACTGATTTAGCTGTCATGAAGTTTCCTTTAATTACATTAGATTTTAACCAAAATCAACTGACAATCTCTTTAATTAATACAAACCTGATCAGGGATTTGTTCAAACAGGGTGATAACCCTCAATGGATTCAGCACTTCCTGTTGAATGATGAAAGAAATACAAAATTACCACAAATTCAATCAGTGAAAAATACCATCTTTTCATATTATCCAGCAATATCAGATTGAATTTTAAGTCAAAAACAATTCTACAACACCAATTTAACAAGTCTTTGTATAAGAACGTTTGAATTTCATTTCCAGACATCTGCCTCTTAAAAGGCCCCGGTAACTTTAACAAGCCCGAAAACTGAGTTTTTATTTTCCATGTTCCATTCAAGATCAAGGTTTTGACAGTTTTGAAATTTAAACAACAAAAATATCAAAAAATAAAAAAAAAACATAATAACATGGTTCCTGAGCTAAACTCAGCGCTATATTTCCTTAGAAGTAGATTAAAAAAGATTACTTTGGGTCAGTTTTTGAGAAATGGGACCCAGGTTACCAATGAGTTTTTTCATACAAACCTGTGCTTTGCTGAGCAAACTCTCCAGTTCTTTGTTATATTCTATGGCTGAGCCAAATGAAGCTTGAAACTCTGAGATAACAGGATCAACATACTTCCTGGCTGATTTGTACTTTTCATGCACAATTTTCATCATTCCACTCTTTCTTACAAAACCTGGGAAAAAAAAAAAACAAACAGAGACATAAATCTACATTTTTTTCTCAAATAAGCACCCTCCCCTACCCCCCACTGACTCCTTCACTTTCCTTAATAATAAGGATACCAATAAAAACCTTTTTAACTTTTTAATACATGAACTAAAGCGAATCAGTTTGCTTTAATTATACTTTCTTAATGAGTACCTCCCTTGATTAAGCATCCTTCTTCTGATAACTGCCCCTCTTTTCAGCCAAAATTTTAAGTAAGTACCTAGACTCCTATCCAAGAAAATGCAGTATTTACAACAACTTCATTTCCATCTTTGCTGGCCACACATTTATGAGGAGTCAAAGTAGTATTATTCCTTGACACTTAATGCTACCAAAACCTCGCCACTAGGCAATGAAACTGACAGCAACTGCTCCTACATCCACTTCCCTTGTACAAGTGCACAACGTAGCGACAACTACATTGAGAAATTCTCTCACACACAAGATATCAGCAACAAGGGTGAAAGTATAGGAAAAGAACAGTAAAGACAAGTCATTTAGAAACCTCTTGCTGAAAGTAAGATAAATTTCTCGTCAGGTTTTGGCCAGAATTATGTCACTGGTAAACAGCGACGAAAATAGCTATAACTTAAGGTAAGATTTGGTTCTGTTAAAAGGATTTGCTTAAACTTAAGATACAGTATCCCAAAGTGAGTTACCATTTAATGCTTCACACTAAGGACATTTAGAGATCTTTTTGCATTTCTCAACAATCTTTTTCTTCAAGCTCTTCCTCATTAATGATGAGATGGCTGGTCTGCTTAGTTGATCAAGAAAATGTTTCTTTTCTTGAGGTGGTAACAGTATCCTGGAACATGTCTAGGTAAAACAGAAAACTATTTACCATAAAGCAGTGACTTGTCACCTGTAGATTAAGGAAAGTCTTACAGACCCACTGACCTTTTAACATTTTGACCATTTCAAGTGACTAACTTCTTATTTCTCCTTACAATATAACCCATGAATCACACATTACACTTAACGAGAACAAAGAAAATGATCACCATCCAAAGATACCCTTGATTGTTAAACAAATTCTCCTTGTCAGCACCTTAGGAATTGTATAGAGAACAGTATGGAGAATATACAGACTGATATTTGGGTGGAAAGGATTTATGCCAAAATTTGCTTTTATTAATTTTCACAGCACAAAGTCATTGTGATTATTGTTCCTTCCCCTAAAAATGCTAATCTATTGCAGTCAGCCTCAAGTATTTCATCAGATTCCCGACCATCACCTGTACTGCCCTTTTTATCCAACCTTAGCGAACAGTGGCATGGTTAGAGTTAAGTAACTTGCCAAGAACACAGCACAATAACCTCAGCTAGGCCACTCCCATTCCTCTAGACACAAAGTTAAGCACTTTAACCACAATGCCTGTGAGGCCACTCTCTAAAACCACAATTTTATTGAGAATGGAGATTGATTCTCCAGCTCTTTATTTGTTATCCCTTGGCATGTGCAAATCGCACTATCCCATATCCAAAAAATATTCACCTTACAAATGCTTTGCAGAATGACAATCGTTGACCTGAAGAAACCAACATGAAAGATTGGAAGTTCCAGATCAAGGTAACCATAGTGACCAACACAATCAGCTAATGGTTTGCCACATGTATCACAGCTCCGATCTTTAGTGCTTGTGCCCTATCAATGTACACAATAATTATTAATTAAATCAACTTTGTCCAGTCTCCCATGAAATATTATGTTTTGCTCAACGATAGATTCCATATTGCCGTGCAACTGTTCAGTAATATGTAAATTGCAGTTGATGTCAAAATGTGTTAGGAGCAAATAAGTTGCACATAAGATGCAGCTGCATGTCACTGATCTTATTATCACATTTTGTAACCTTTTGCAACCAAGCCATGAAAAGATACAGAGCAACATGGAATCTATTTGTTTCATAGTAAAGATACCAAAGTTCTTAGTGGTGATCGTAGTTATTTATACATCTGTCCTCCAACAGATCACAACTAAGAATCAAGGCTTGTAATTCAGCTTATTATTTAACAAAAATGGTAAACATACTACTGACAGTGAAAGATGCCACTATTTTGTTACCATGTGTGAATCTAACACCCCAAATGGCACAGGGGTACGGCTTTGATCCTGATTGTACAGGTTTTTGCTGACACAGTGAATATGTGCATATTGGTGCATTTGTTCAGGAGAAAACAGTCCAAAGTTGACATGGCTTCTGTGAACAGAGATAAATGATATGGTAGTCACAGAATGAAACCAGAGCAAATTCTTAGACTTCATTATAAATGGTACTTATGCAAAGATAGAAAACATGGATTCTTCAATATTGTGCTCTTTTTTTTTTTACATGTTACTGCCTCATGTGCATTGAATTTTAAACCCTTGAACTCCCACGATCTAATTATTCTCTTCTCGAGCTCCTACAGATTTCGTTTAAATTAGCTTTGAGAATTTGGTATTAGATTATGATAACATCTGTGTGACAATTTTGAGTATTCTCATTACCTGTTTTCTGGAAAATTTATAGATATTGAAGGGGGAATTCACATGTTCCTCAATTCTAGGAGAAGGGGTTATGTACTTCCTCTTCGAAAGATTGAAATAATTATGATTTAGCCTACACACATACTTATTACCCCATACAGTTCTTATTGCTCTCCCAGTTACCATGGTATAAAACCCCTGGATCATGGGATAATGCAGTTCAAGAGTTTTTACTAGCTTAGCTATCATGCATCGTAAGCCATTATATGACACATGTGCATGAAGACAAATTGAACCTTAAGTGTTATTGTAATTGTAACATTCCATTTGTTCTTACAAAATAAAGTTGGGAAGATTTATCTAGATATTTGGACATTTTTATTAAAACAATTATTCCACTTCCACCTGTAGGATAATGAGATGATCATGGCCAACTCAGTCCTACTGGTCTGATTGGCTATCTATCATCTCACATCCAGTGTTGGAGTTTTGCTACTTCCCCTGGATGAGATGCTGATCTATTTGACAATTATTCCACGAGCGCGCGTTGGATATGAGATGATAGATAGCCAACGAGGTGCGTAGCGCCGAGTTGGCTATAATCATCTCATATCCAACAAGCGAGAGTGGAATAATTGTTTTCTTAAAAAAACGCCCCCAAGATAACTATTAGACAAATCTTCTCGACTTTATTTTGTGAGAAGAAACCGGATTTAACAATGTACAGAAATTAGATTATGGTATATTGGCTCATATACCATGATGGCTGAGCCAATAAAAAGTCTTGAATTGCATTATCCAATGATCCAGTTTTTAATCTTAATACAGATTACCCTCCCCTCCCATCCCCCCTCTGCATTGAAACAGCTGTACCTTACCGCTTGTAGACACCCATTTCCTTAATCTCTCCTCGAAATAAAAACGGGTGTTTTTCTTTATGTAGCCTTGGCTTGTTTTGGAAGCATTTTGGGGTAATGGATAGAAGGCAGAGGTGAGCTGAGGCGAGTTGGTAATGGGTTGTCACACTATTAAACAGGCACACGTGCAAATTACAATGATATATAAATAACACTTAAAAACATCAGCTGTTTAAAAATAGGCCAGATATGATAATATTCAGATACATCATAAAATATAAACGTATAATAATTCATCGATATTACCACTGGAGTTAAAAAAACAATGCAATTAAGTTGCAAATTCGGCTGTTCTCGTATAAACATTACATGCACTAAGCGCTTCAACGACAAATACCGCTCCTGAACACAACAAAAAAGTAAAAATTCTTACATTTTCTTAGTAACGCCAGACTCTTTAAACTGCTCCTTCACCATGATGGAGCGATGAAAGTTGTAGCAGTTCTTAAAAAGAATCTTTAGAACCTCTTTCCTTATTCCGCCATGTTGGGACCCATGTTGGTAAAATCGTCGCAACTGGATTATATATCAGCGGTTTCACGCAGTACAGGTCAAGATGTGTGCATCAAAATGGCGCGCGTGTCAGAGATATTGTTTGTTGTGTCGTTATGGTGCGTTTCATCGCTGTGTATTAACTATGAGATTTGCTATGACACTCCTCAAAGTTGTAAGACAAATTACTACTTTCAGTACTCGTCGCTAAGTTGTAAAGAGTGTGGGTCTAATAAGGAACGAAGTCAGGATTTCATATCTTGCACCTGCAAGATTGGTTACAAGACTGTGGTGGACGAGCTTGAGGTTACCGAAAACAATGGTTGTCCAAGTGAAATTATTCGATGCGAGAAATGCAGTGGCTCTACAAACGAAACAAGTTCCCTTGATGGAAGTTTTTGCATCAGATGTCAAAACGACTCGACCGGTGGTTTTAATGAGAATACAGGCACTTGTTTTGATTGCCCTGAAAACTCTTTTGCTCGAGATCGTGATGCGAGCGGAGTGAGGTTGCCTAGGAGGCAATGCTTAACATGTACATCAGATACAACACTAAGCGGAACGGAGGAAAAAGCTTGTAGACGCTACCACTCTAGCTTTCTGTTCGCTAATAATTCAACAGTTCGTCAGGAATGCATTAACGGCGAGCAAGACTCGGGTTTCACAGTTGTGGGTGGCGTGTGTTTCCAGGACTCAGATCTGATCACAGAGAAGGATGACTTATACAAAGTGACATATGTAGACGAGGACAATACAATAATATCGTCATTTTACGAGAGAACTGTACGCGCTGCTCAAGCTCTTTGTAAGACGTGCTCAAATTTTACAGCGTGTCAGCTATTGGGAAACCTTTGCGTTTTACAGGATTACAGTGGTGTGGTTTGCGATGAATACAGAAACATTGTTGCTACTTCTGACCAAAATGCAAGACCTGATAACTCTGATTGGCCTACATATATGCCTTGGCTTTTCTACTCTAAAAAAACTGCTGGTGAGGCTCCGGATATCCTAGACAAGAAAGAGATAACAAAAACATTTGAACGAAATGAAGATATTGAATTTCTCCTTGTTGTTTACACACTCAATGGATCATTTGTAGGTTATGAAAGCAGTTTAGATTCTATACCGTTCTGCAAAGATCGACCCTCTAAAATGGCAGCAGCATCAAAATTTGCAACAACTTACAAGTCGTCATGTTCAGTAGGAGTTGATGATCTGAAAGACGTGCCAATGTTTCTGTACGACATGTTTATTGTCCTTGGAGACACGATTTACCCTGTGCCAGTACTCATGGAAAATTATTTAAGTGGCAGTGACAAAGTCAATGAGAACAGTGACAGAACGAAATGGCAGCTGACACGGCGGTTCTTTGTTGTTGATAATCAGATCGGGATTCCATTAGGGTCCAAAGTGCTGCAATTCATTCGCTATGCCTCTAAGATTGAGTTGAACATAAGGCTGCGATCATCTGATGGAGAAATATATCCCCCCATGTTGCGAGTGAGATATGAACCATTGGATTTAAGAGATGAAGACACAGCCAAAAGCAGTAAAGAAATGTCATTTGCAGTCACTTATGAAATGGATTTTGTAAAGATAAAGAAGGATACTGAGGTAGGTTTGTAATGTGATATGATTCCTGCAACTAGGAAAAGACGGCAAAGGGTTTATATCTGACAGTCATGTTAACGTCAAACTTATCATTTGATGTGTGAATTTTTCAGAAAGGCAAGCATGATTTCAATCAATCAATCAACTTTATTTAAGGAGGGTAACACGGGACAGTGCTTCAACTGAGTAACTAGTGGCCCTCAAACCAAATTTGTAAAACAAAGTTAAGTAACAAAATACATGTCGTAAAGAAAGGAAGTATAAGTGTATGAATGAATAGGACTAACAATAGTAAAAACTCTATTACACTTATAAAAATATTCTTACAATGAATATCTTCAAACTATAATTACAATAAGAATACAGCTGGGATAGGTCGAGCGAGAGGAAGGTTATGAAATGTTGGATTGGCATAAAACCATGAATAAAATGTAGTTTCAGTTATGCTAAAATGATCAACGTCATTGTATCTGGTTAAAAATTGTCTATAAATAGCCTTTCTAGATGAGGTTACTTTCTTAAGGTTAATAGGCAGAGAGTTCCAGAGCCTGGTTGGGGACACACTAAAAGTTCTGCCTCCCTCAGATACATGACTATATCTGGGGCAGACGAGGTTTAAGGCACTGTACCACCCACTGTGTGTGTGTAAATCTGCATTGCATTTAAGAAGGTCACATGTAGCTGGGGCAGTTTCCTTGAAGGCGCTTAAGGACTTAAGTGAGCACTTATTGATTTTAGCTTCATCATAAAATGGGAGCCACCCTAATTTATTAAAAAGATTTACGCTATTTGATCTTGGTTCATAATTTGTGAAATTGTGAGGTGTTATTTACCTCCTGAGATATATGTGACCTGTGAAAACCTCAAGATTTTTTCCAAATTTTTTACTCAAGAAGAGAGGATTAAAGTTCTCCCTCCAGGAATGAAGCTCTGAAATTTGTGCATGAAACAGGATCAGGATACCCCTTTGCTACCCTCTTGGGGACCGTCATCTAATTTCTCCTTACAACATCACCCCTGAATCAAACATTAAGGTCAGGAGAATAAAAGAAGTGATCACCAGCTAAAGAAGCTGTTGATTTTAAAACAAATTCTCTTTGTGAGCACCTTAGGAAGTGTATAGAGAACATTATGGAAATTATGCCTATTGATGCTATTTTGACCAAAATGGTAGCCCTCCTGTATGCATTCCACTGAAGATTTTCCTTCTATCTTTTGTCAACAGATAGCTGTTGGATGCCTGTCGGCTCTAGCTGCCATTTTGGCCTTTGTCAAAGTTTCATCATGGAGAAGACGCCAGGGTCGCATTGAAATTGATGCTGCATCGCTCTTGAAGTTCATCCTTTTTTGTTTCAGTACATTTTCCACCATGCTGTTTTGGGTGGCCTTTGGTTTGTCTGTGTCATTTCTAATTTTTTTTAAACAACAAAAGACAGTCTCTCAGCTTCTGCCCACACAAAGCCAAGAGGGTTTGTTTCTCAGTGTTGTGGTGGTGGTCATTGTATTCAAAATTATTGATGTGCTTCACATGCTTTGGTCACAGATCTCATTTGAAATTTTTTTTATTGACTGGGAACGACCACAGGGGAGAGTCAACCAACCCACTCAGGGGGGTGATGGAGGGGGCATGAATTCCCCTGTCAGCATTTGGAGAACTCTGTTCGTTGCAAATGAGTGGAATGAAATCCAAACCATTCGCAAAGTCAACCCAGAATTGCAGATTTTCATTGTGCTGTTTTTTCTAAAAGTTTTTGGATTTGAGTATCTGGCAACAACAGACCCACAGAGTAACTTCTCGGCAGACTACACAACTGAATATGTTGGAGAGTTCAGCAAAGTGTTGCGATTTGCTGTTTTGTCAGTGTTGTTCCTAGCCGTAGAGGCAATCCAGTGGTTCTTTTTTGCATTTATCTATGAGCGATTCTTTGGAGATTCTCTCGGCGACTTTATTGACCTGTGCTCAATGAGTAACGTGAGCATCTTTGTCTTAGAGGTTTGTACAATTAGTACTTAAATGACTAGGATAATGAATTTAGTGTAGAATGAAGAAGAACATTTTGTCAGGATGTCTTTCTATTCTTAACCCTTTAGCCCCCAAAAAAGATTGACATGTACCGGTAACTTCTCCTTATAATTTCCATGTACATTATCCAGTGAACAAGTAATGGTGTTACTCAAACTCATCAGATAGTAGTAGTTGTCTTGATTTGACACCAAATTCTCATAACTGACTTGCAATGAAATGTGTGGCAGCTAGAGGGGAGAATTGATAATCAGATCTGGGGAGTCTTAGAGAAACATGAAGGAAGTATTAGCTATGGAGACCCATGTGCTTAATGTCGACAGGTTTGGACTGACAAACCGAGTCAATTACAGGAAATGAAAACTTATAAGTAAACTTCCTTGAAAAAAGTATATTAAAAAGTTTGGTCCAAATCCGTTTTTTCTCTTTTGAAGGTGAGAAAGGCATTTAAGTATGCACCAGCGCTTAAAAAAAATAAAGGAAAAGAAAAGGAAAAATATCAGTGGAAAGATCAGAAATCAGGATTTGCTTCATCTTACCTAGGTTCAAAATGGTTTCTGCATACATTTTTTTTTTCACCCAAGTGGTCCTAAGAATCTTTGTTTCAAAAAAATTCATATATCTTATTAACCAAGCGCGACGGCCGTGCTGGGAGAATATCGGCCCGAGGTCTTGACAGTACGGACCGAGCGCAGCGAGGTCTGTACAAAAAAGACCGAGGGCCGATATTCTTCCAGTACGGTCCCGAGCAAGCTTGGTTAATAAGAGATTTATTATACGACTGAAGTTCAAAGGGACACAAGTGCGGTATCATTCGGGACCATTCGGGACAGTGCCCGGTCCAATACTTAGAGAATATTGACCGGCAATAGAGCATTTTGATTGGTTGATTTTAGTTATTTGCCCTCTGACTGCCCGAGTCTTGTATTAAAAATTTTTATTACACTCTTAAAAGGGTAATTGTAAATGCTGTCCATTGTATCTAAGCCAGTAAGGCCACAATCTTTTCTTTGCAGAATACTCGCTATGGCTACTACATTCATGGCCGCTCAGTTCATGGCCGTGCAGACACTAACATGTTGCAGATGAACGAACAGCTGAAGAGAGAAGAAGATGACTTGTGCGGGAAAAGAGGCTTGGAACCCAACACAGAGCGGCAGACATTTGAAATGGAGGTGCCAGCAAAGTTCCGTGAACAGTATGAAGAAATTATTCGACCACTTCGGGAGGGAAATCTTCAGCAGCAGAGGAGAAACGTGCCAAATACTCCTATGGGTTAGTACAAACCCTCTGGTTAATTACACCTGGGATGGGGAAGTAATTAAGAGGGGATCAAAGCTTGGAGGGGTTACCCTTGGGATAGAGTCTCAAATGAACCGGGATCGAAAATGCGAAAAAGTGACCCCTGGGTTAAGGAATTAACATGGGTTGGGAAATGAGAGAGACTACCCCAGGGATGGGGAATTTTAGATAGAAGGAGCTACCCATGGAATAGGAATTCAAATGAAAGGGAATTGAGAAACAGGACGAAAAGGAGGATTTTGTATATATATTGGAATCAGCAGAACCTGATAGTTTTAACACCTGTTTTCTTTTCCCCTTTAGGTCAAGATGGTCGTACAAGTCGCCTTCCTATAGCAGTGGAGAAGCGCTTGCAAGCTTACAACGCACTAAACCGCTTTCTCTCTGCCTTCATCGATCACTCACTGAAGGACCTTGATTACCTGGTAAGGGACAAGCTCCTTTTTGAACGGATCTTAAACATGGAGTTGAAAGAAGTCCCTCCTCCTGACAAGGCTATTTTTTACAACGACGATGGCAGATCGTTTAACTCAATTCTTTTCTATGGGAATGAGTGGACATTGATGTTTTTTGACTTGTTGGTGTTCGCCGCTATGGATTTGATTTACCCGAATTTTGTTTTTGCTGGGGTAATGGCCTATCTTTTCAGTAAAGGCTTGACAATTGCCAGAAACACATTGGGAAGGAAAAATCTGACTAGGAAGACACTTGTAGATGAAAGGTTTCTGATCTAGTTTGACTGAGGGTCGTAAAACACTGAAAACAAAGCATCCACAATGGCGGATGCGAACAGAAGTTGACATTGCTAAGAAACGAAGAGAACTCGAAGTAGAACGTGAACTGTCTCTGAAGTGCGTTAAAAACGCGAATTAGCAAATCGTGATAACTTTTAAGGCGCGTATCGATTGAGTGTCGTAAAACCAAAACCAGAGCAGACACAACGGCTAATCAAGAAGAAAGAAAACGCCTTAAGACTCGATGAGAACTCAAAGTAGAAACAAGCAAACCACCTAAAGCGCGGGAAAACCCGGACGACGATTTTGCTTTTGCAACTGATTGGTTGATTCGTGCAATATTTCTGGGCCAATCACAGAGCGAAGTTACTCTCGACACTCAATTGAAATGCTGTAGTTTGGAACTTAGTTCGATTGCTTTCCATAATTAAGAACGTAAGATTCGCGTATAGAAAAACATTTATGGGATTTTGCGATGCAATTATGCCAATTTTTTATAACGTAAACCTGTTTCCAAGATGGAATCAAATTTAACTTTCAGAGAAAGTAGCAATAGTCAGAGAAAGTTAAGGTACGGGACAATTCCAGCGAAGCTGTTGATATTTTAAGCCATAGTACGGAAGATTTCTTTATCAATCACAGAGCCGATGAAATCTATTAAGGCAGTTTTTGTATGTAACGTAAAAAGGAATTCGTTTTAGACTGGGTCATCCTTAACCTTCTTTCATAGTATGCTTACTTATTATTGCCAGTCGTGGAAGGAAGTTTTCATATTTTGGTGTCTTGTCTTTGGCTTCGCGGGAATGCTTTCTCCTCGTTGCTTAAACTCGAATACTACTATATGATTTTAGTTTGAGGTGACCTTTCACAAAATCCTGTATGCTGTGGAGAACGAATTACATCCTAACATCTACATGCATATTCTCCACTCGTTCTTCACACCTCTCTAAAGATTTCCTTTTGGGAAATTCTTAGACGTTGTGTTCAATATCATGGAAGGTCCCATACTCTAGGGCATTCATTATTTTACCGCTATCCATTTACGTGTTTACTTTAGATTCTTCAGTGTAACAGATAATCTTAGAGCGAGTCTAGATGCAACAATTATTTGGAAGAAAATAAATTTAATTTGAAGTCGTGATCGGCTTCTCTTGGTGGTGTTGGGTGGGTGAAAAAATCACTTGACTTCGAAAAGGAGAGACAGCTCGTAGTCTGTACTCGTCACATTTGCACTACAAACCAGTCACTGTCTGCACTCGAATTCCTGCGATGCTGGCATGCATCCTACCTACCCCCCCCCCCCCGTCCACTTCTCGGAATCCCGCAAATACCCTTTAGTCAGGCCCTGTGAGGGAAGAAGTATCGAAGGCTCTATTGACGAAGTGAGTCGATCGCGAAGTTCACCGTCGATTGCCAGCTTAGATGACGAGTGGTAAATAAACAAATGGTAATTATACTCAATGAATTTCTTTCACTTGCGAATTTTTCAATCTAGTTTCTCTTACTTTTTTTTTTTCTGTTCAGCTCTCTGTCTATGTCCACGACGGTTCGTTGGTGATACGATCGTAAAAAAAAATCTCCCTCTAACATCAACCACTTAAAGAAAGATACAATCATTGCTGTAATTACAATATATTCTTCGTCATAGGCATATTTAATTCAAACCAGTTACTTCTAGCTTTACTTCGCTTTAAAATCATAAATAAAATGTCTACACCTACATTACATAATTCCATTACAACTATTCAGATTTATATATAAGCAAAGATAGTCTCCCTTCAGGCATTACATTCACAAATCAGATTTACTATTCCACGATTAAAAACAATACACAGTAAGACTTGACGTGGAATATTGTATTTGCTAAATTGTGGGCAGCCGTTGCCATACTGTTTTATAAGCTTAATTTCTTTGCGTAACATGATTGCGATTTAGTTTTAGCCACAAAATCACACACTAATGACTGTATCTGGAAACAAAGTGTCATTTCATTTCTATACAAGTCTGACAATTAAATGGATGTGATCAAAGAAACTGAAAGTAGGAAACTGTTGGAGCATTTTCCATAAATAAGAGTCTCAAAAATTCACTTGACCCCTTAACTCTCAGATGAGATCAACATGCAGCTTCTCCCCAAAACATCCACACATCTGGCAAATAATCTACAAGAATACTCAAACTTATCATGTAGAGGTTGTTATCTTGGTCTGACTCCAAATTCTCCTAACTAATTACAAGGAAATTTGTAGCAGCTCAAGGGGAGAAATAACAATCATACGTTGGAAGTTAAAGGGTCAATGGAGGTACCTGGCTTATGAGATCAACATTAAAATTCACCCCTGATAGATGAGGGGGGGGGAGGAGACACTGTACAAGATCACTCAGGCATTTATCAACCTTTGATTAATTCTCACCACTATATTGTGTGTAACTCCAAATGCAACATTTCTTTTCCATCTAACTGCCATGAGGATATTGCCTTGTAAAGATTAAAAAACTAGTAATAAGAAAGCTCCCCTTTCCAGATGACAAATTTCAAGCTTATAAATACAAAAACAAATTCAATCAAAACCCACAATTTCTCAATAAATTTTACATCCTAGAGCACTAAAATGACATACTTATTTTATAACCAACAAGGGGATGTTATACGATTTACCACCAAATTCTTACAGCATGAAACAGTTACAGTTTTTGTACAGAACTCTGGGAGGAGAACCAGTATTACAGTCTCTTGGCTTAGAAAGCAAAAATACAGCCACCTTCAAATAAAATGAAAAACAAAATTGAACAAAAAGATCATCTCTACATCCTACCTACAATAGATTATAATCTATACACTGTATAATTATCTACCAGCAAATTAAGACCTAAGGATTTCTATAAATGATTGGAGCAGTGATGATCACACGCTAGAGACTGGACCATTCGCAAAGACAGGAATATCACTGAACAGAGCTCCATACCTCTGTCAGTTTTAAGCTGGACAACCTATCAGAGAGTGCCAGCCAAGAAAGGGAAGTGCTGACCTAGTCATTATTACAACACAAATTTTATTTAAATATTACATCCATCAGTTGTTTAGTAGTGAGCTTTTAGTAAAGCAGATTTTACTATTTTATACAGATATTCACAAAGGTAATAATAATAATATTATACTACAATACTAATGGTTGATGATGAGTCACTAAGGTTCGGGAACGCTTTGTCTGTCTGTAGGATCACTTTGTCCCTGGTTGTACTGGTAAGTCCTTCCGTGGTGGCATTCTTTCGTTCACCTGGTCAAGTCCCTTTGCTTCGGCAAAGCCACTGATTTTGTGATTGGGGCTGAAAACTTGCCCTTGTAAAGCTAAAGAAAAGATTAAAAGAAATTATCGCTCAGTCCAGTTTGACAGAGCACATATGAATCTTAAAACAAAACTGTCAAAGCTACAAAAATGTATGTACTTCATGACTCTAAGTTTGTCAGGTTCAGCACACCTTAAAATAAGAATTTTAACCAAATCAAGGTTGTGCACTGGGAAAATTGCAGGGTGCCCAATGGTTCTTAGTTAAGAAATCTGGGGTGCCCACCTCCAAAAAGCCTTCTTAAAAATGAAGTTAAACAAGTCCCCTAATCAAAAAACTTGGTCACCTGAGGCACTCAGGCTCTGTTACACCACAGCCCTGCAAATCTGCAAAAGAAATTCAACAGAACTTACCACTCTCTAGCCCTTGTTTGCCACCAGACAGAAGTCCAACAGGCAAGTGTCCCGAAGGAGTAAGGCCTTTCAGTTGTACCACACTCTCACTCTCCTCCCTAAAAACAAACATGGCTGATCAACATGAAGAGCTACACCATACAAAGAAGAGCATCGCTACAAAGCACATGGCTACCTTATTACGTGCTAGACTTGAAGCTCAAAGGCTCTTTAATACCTAATGCTTCAATTCTTGGCTTCTGCTGGACAAAGTCACTAACCCCAGATCTCTTGGATGGAATACAACAAGTTACCCAATCCATTTTGACCATTAACACTTTAACCCTAAGAGTGACCAGCTTATAATTTCTCCTTACAATATCACCCCTGAATCACATATTAAGGTCAGGAGAATAGAGGAAATGATCAGTGTAAGAGTAACCAGCATCTAATTTCTCCTTACAATATCACCCCTGAATCACATATTAAGGTCAGGAGAATAATGGAAAATGATCAACAACTACAGAAAGTCTTGATCACTAAGCAAATTCTCCTTGTCAGCACCTTGAGAAATGTATATAGTATGGAGAATATGCATTCTGAGATCAGGGTGTAAAGAGTTTACCAGTGCCCATTACACATTGTAAACAACTGACTCAAAAAAAAATTTATGCCAATTTTTTCACGAGACATAAACCACAAAATGGTTCTTTAGAGAGAGTGTTCTAAACACTAAACCAAGCCAAAAAAATAATATTCAGCAATCACAAAAATCCAAGTGTACATCAAATTAGTTCTCCCATAGTTTACATTCAGATGTTGTAGAGAACATTTGGTGGAGAAGTAACGCAACTGTTATACTCAAGAAAAATTTTCTCACGCAGTACCTGAGCACAGTGAAGACTCTTGCCATTTTACCAATGGCTCGTATTTTGCTGCGAATAACTTCTTTTCTCTTGATTGCTTCACTTTGTTCTTCATCTTCCTCCCCTTCAAGTTCTTCATCAGTGCAAATATTGAGGATATTCACTAGCATTTCAGTGACTGAAAACAAAGCAAGCAGAGGTAAGATACAGAATGTAAGGCTTTGTATACTCTTAGGGAACTACTGACTCAAACTTCCAGAGCTTATCCCATTTCTTATAGCCTAAAATGGTTTAATGCACGGTTGTGGCTAAGAAATTGGACTGCTGACTAAAAATTCAGGTGAGGAGTCTGTTACAAAGTTTTGAATACAAGGCTCACAAGCTTCCTGTTTATGAAATGGAGCATGCAAAAAAAGGAAACAAGTCACAATGAACAAGAGCTCAAAACATTTTAGTTCAATTTAAAGAGAACTTAAGCAGAGACAACTTTGAGACGCAGATGGTAACCAGAAGAAGAATAAAATTAATTCTGGCACACTTTGACACCAATGTGCTGACAGTGAGATCATCACTTTAGTATTTGAAGCCAAACTTTGCCACCAAAAAGGTTTAGTGAGCATCAGGAATGAAAATTTTTACCCACCAGCTGCCATCTGCATCTCAAAAACATTTGTACCCAAGCTGTCTATTGTAGGAGTGGTGGTGTTGCTAATACTCTGATTAGTCAAACATTTATTTCAATCTTTTTTATTTAAACAGTAGTGTTTGATATTGAACGACTGCAAGTGCATAGCCTTGTAACAAAAAATCCAGCCTACAATAACTGCTTTATCACCCAGCACATTTTTGTGGCAGCTAGCACTTAGTGAAAACCCAAGAAGGGTATATCTACCACCCTAATTGGATGCTACTCCACAGCAAGTTACCCACAAGCATTTCCTCAAGTTCCTCGACAGTCCACCGATATCCCTTTCTCCCAGAGTGAAGAGAAGGAATGTGCAAGTAATGGCAATGCATCATCAACAGCTAACAAAATTTCTGCAATTTAAGGCTCACCTTTCTCACCAACAAATGGCAAAGACCACGTAAAAACATCCATAAAATTTGGAAGCCAGTACGGATGCGGAGAACAGTTGAACTGTCGAATATTCATCACATTGTTTTCGTATTTCAGAACAGCAGCTGAAAGTGAAAACAAGTTGATGGAGTCAGATTCATACAAGACTATGCCAAACAGTCTCATAAACTTGAATTATTACACGACTCGGGCAGTCAGAGGGCCAATAACTAAAATCAACCAATCAAAATGCTCTATTGCCGGTCCAATATTCTCCAAGTATTGGACCAGGCACTGTCCCGAATGGTCCCGAATGATACCGCACTTGTGTCCCTTTGAACTTCAGTCGTATAATAAATCTCTTATCAACCAAGCTTGCTCGGGACCGTACTGGAAGAATATCGGCCCTCGGTCTTTTTTGTACGGACCGAGCTGCGCTCGGTCCGTACTGTCAAGACCTCGGGCCAATATTCTCCCAGTACGGCCCTCGCGCTTCTTTAATAAGATATATGTATATCTACACTGGTTATTGTCTCACAAACCTTTGTTATTGTAGACATCCAGGTAATTAGGAGCTGAAAAAATGGTGATGAGAGATGGAAACCCAGTTTCTTGACTTTTCCTGTACATTCGATACCTGGATATTCCAAAATGTTTGATAAGTAATTTGAAACATTGAATGATTCTTGTGTCTAGTCCTTAGTTTAAAGAAAATTACCATCTGGAATGATAAATAATGCTAAAAATTACAGTGATAAAATTCAGGAGCAAGATGACTCGTGTTGCTTACCCAGCATCCTGTGCTTCATGTGCTCTGATTATCGAAAGCAAATTGTTCTTTTGGAGGAAATCACAAGTTGCTTGGTAACTATAAACAAAGTATTTACACAACAACGAGATGTTTACAATGCAGAGTTCAAGAGAAAAAGAAACAAAAGCAATGTTCCATGTCTTTTCCATGACTAGCTCAGAAGGAATCAAGAACAATTCTGTTCTCAAACAAAATCTTGATTTCAAAAGTATCTATTCTGATATCAAATTCTTGGTGACAGGTCAAATACCCGATTGCCATGCTATGAACTATTCAGGCCAGGCCCTAGAGCTATTGTGCTTTGGTTACATTCATTTCAAATGGAATCATTTTCCAGGTGTGGTTGTATTGCTAATAAATGAAGTATGAAGCTACAGTTTAATCTTCTCGAACTGAATTTTTAGTTACTGTGAATCACACAACACTGATGGACACCAGTGAAAGTGGAGGTCCACTGTAAAAAAAAACTATAAGCTCTTTTATCCCAAGGATCTTCATTCCATCTACCAGAGAAGAAGTACAAAATGATTACCTGTAGAAATATGAACACCCTCTGACGGTGTTATGACTGAAATGCTCGCTGTTTTTCTCATTGCCATAATCCTCCAAAGGATCTGACCAAAGAAGGTCACACATTGGACCAAAGGCTGGGGGCTCAGTGAATCGATCAATCTACAATCAACACATCACTTTCAATGCATTTCTCTGGTGCTTGTGACACAAAAAATTTGCCTGATGTTCAAGTACTGTAATTTCCGGCCATTTAACCGCACCGACTGTTATTGCAGGCGGCAAAAAAAAAAGTCAACAGATTACCCACAATGGTGGATAACCCGCACCTTTAAAGCAAAGGGAATTTGTGCAAAAAGGCTCTAGAATTCACATTTCATTCTTGACAAAATGCGAATTCGTGGCCATGTTTTGTGCAGGCGCCATGTTGATTTGTTGATTTCTCAAAAAAAATTGATATCTCCGGTTCTACTGGGCCTTAACAAGTTGCTAAAACGAGAACATTCTCTTCAGCTCAAGCTAGTGTTAACTGGAAATTTGTTACTGATGCGCTGGTTATCCTTGAATTATTTATGTCACCATCAAGGTTTTGTTTACATGCATACCAATAAAAATCTGTTCGTCGCGTAACTAATTCTGTGTGAAATAAACTCAATTCGGCATCATGTTAACGTGCCGCTTTGTGGCACTCTTAATAGAATAAAATTCATCTGAGAGGTGGAAACGCAGGTAGGTGAGAATTTTCTCCAATTTAACTGCCAGTAGATTTCAAAATTGTCACATAACCTGCACCTCTCTGTTACCCGCAGTGGCACATGTTTAAGGGAAAATCAACAGATTACCCGTGGGTAAAGGGCCGGAAATTATGGTAACACTTGAACGACTCTAGATTCAAAACAAAACAATATTGCTACATCAAACTCGGGATACCAAGGACTAGCTTCCAGCAGAACTTAAAAGTTTAGTGTGTTAAACACTGAACTCCCATGACCAACTGCGACAGAATTTCATTATACAATATCATCCAAACAAGCAATGACAAAATAAACAATATCAATATTAGGGGATTATTATTTGATCCAATACCAAATTCTCTGAACTAACACCATAAGGATTGTATGGCAGACGCTAAGGAGAGTGACTAAGGAGATCTTGGAAGTGAAATGATTAAATCTAGCAATGCCTTTACCTTTCTTATGTCATCTAGGGTGTAGATCTCTGGGGACAATCCACCATGCACACAGAGAAACTGTCTGTTCATCAGAGCAGCCAAAGGGAGACAATCAAATGACTGCATGCAAGCATTATACACTTCTTCTGTGTATTTGATCTTGCCTGTGAGAGGAAAATATGCTTCCAAGTTTAAAAGAATTTGAAAATAGAATGCCAGAAAAATAATAGTCAAAAATTGGGGGTGAAATTTTCTAAATGGTTATACAGAGGCCAAACTTGTTTAAGTATTCATGAACCAAATAGACTGTAGAATGAGGTGTCTATTACTTAGGAGCTTCATCTTTTTATCTAGGCAGATAAGCAGTAAGTTTTTATAAAGGAACTCTCAAAATGAATATCTTCTAAGGTGTAGTTGATGTAGGTGACTTAAGCTATATTAGCATAAGCTACAAGTCATTTCATCACATTTTAAAGTTTTAATTCTTATATTTATCTATACAGGATCCCTATGATAACAGCACTTATGTACTGAAGGGCTATCCTGTAATAAAGAATTCTTATTATTAATATTATTAAAGCATTCTCTCTGGAGGAACCCTATCAAGACTACTGAATTAATTACTCCCATTGTGATTATATGAATTTAACCCCAATTTCATCAGGTTCACCTCCGCAGAGAAACTACTGCTGTTAGCAGAATTGTTGTCATGATACTTCAAGCTGTCACAAGCTAGATACTTGATAGATATTTCAATTTTACACCTGTTTATACCTCAACAGCAAAATTCACTATCTCGTCTGATTAAATAATATTCATACACTGCAAAACTCCCTACAGCAAGTTCTTGCAAGGCCAGATTTTTTTAAGGGAAAAAAAGAATAATGGAAGAGTCTAAATGCTACTATACAAGGTAAGCAAAAAGGAACAAAAAGGAAGCTCTTCCGTTGAAAAATCTCAAATATTTCGTGACAGCAAGAAAACAATAACAAACCGGTAAACCGAAATTCCTCGCCCTTAGTTTGACATCTAAAATTGCGAAAAAAAGAGGATCTTTTCAATGTAACTTCGCACTTAACCCTCGCTGGCATCAATAAAGATGTAAATTTTAAAAGCGCAACTTTATGATTTATTCATGAAAATCCAACGGGTCTATGTAAAGCAAAAAATCTCAAGGAAGGTTTAAAGTTTTACAGCGACCTGACCAAGAATAAATATAAAACAGAGCAGTTCCAGGCGGCGTAAATTTGTGAACAAATGATACTTGAAATTTCTACAAAGAAAGCTTTATCCTTGGAACGAAGATTAATTGTTCGATAAAATAATTGCTCTTGTGCGGGGTTTGGAAGGCGTCGTCGTTTTGATCGATCGCAAGCCTCGGTTGGTTTGCTGTTCGTGCCATAAGAAGTTATGAAAAGGGAATTTTAAGCTTCTCTAGATCTGAACAATAACACTTACACTCTGTCTTGAAGGTGAAGTATTCTGTTAAGTGACGACATTCGTGATTTCCACGGAGCATGAAGAGAGTATTGGGGTAAAGGAGTTTTAACGCCCACAGGTATAAAACACACTAAGAAAGAAACAACGACAAAATGATATTAAATACAGGTTGATAGCGTTTTATATTCACAACGCGGTAAAACGGGGGCAGGCCTGGTCTAATGCATGATAAGCTTGTGTTTTGATACGAACAACGAGGGAAAGTGTACACAAGCGTTTAAACATCAAGCCGATACCGTAACAGTTTTAGAAATTAATACTCTTACCTCGATTGAAAAATATCCTCTGTCCACATAATCTCCAAGAAATAAGTACCTTGTCGTACTTGGTGATCCTCCGACTTCGAATAATTTGATTAAATCATAGAACTGACCGTGAATATCACCACAAACTATAGAGGATGGAAAGACAAATAAAACAACAGCGATGGTTACTTCTCGAACGCACATCTACGCGTGCGACCTGTTCCAGATCTTTGAGCATATACCAGCAGAATAAAAACGGCTAAATTGCCTACCTGTTATTGGTGCTTCGACATCCAGCATCGTAGGTTCTCTTTGTAAAATTTCCGTGGTATCCTGTATGATTTTGAGAGCTACCTCTTCTTCAACTCTACCCTCTTTTAAGAAATGACTCTTTAACACATCGGCTTTGGGTTTTCCATTCGAATCGAAAACATCGCTGACCGCAAGGAGTTCAATCGGCGGCATTGGAACTGCTGTAATAAGAAACAAGAAGTATTTAAAAACATCTACTACCAAGGCAATACCGCGCAAAATGGCGGCTATCGAAGCAACGTTGGCAAGATCAGCGATTTTCTGGAAGCTAACTTTTGAGTACTCTATCCGACGTTGGCAACTTCCCATCTTGGCTTGCCATCTTCCAAAAACCCTAAAATATACGACTGAGAGTAACGGCCGGTAGCTGCTATCTTTCACACCAAGATGGAACCAGATTTCGCCTGTCGCCTTCGTTTCTCTCAGCTACGGCCTTCTCTGAAACGACACACATAAACAACAAATCCAGGAAGTTGCTTACGGCGGCTGCGCGCTCTGGCCTCATTTTCATGCAGAAGCCTCGCCCTTTTGAATAAACTTTATTTGGTGAAAGGAACTTTTCTTCCACAAAAATACAATTTTCATAGGCGTTTAACAATAGGAATATATGTCTGCAAAACTACTCGTATTGATTTCAATGAGGCTTTGTCCCCAGCGAAACGGCGTGCGACGGAAGATGCCGCCGCCAACATCGATCATTTTGTCATGGGCACTCCTGACGATGGCGAGAACTGGTACTAGGACAAATTATGATCGCCGTTTTTCTCGAAAGAAATCCAATCATTTTCACAGGTTCTTTCTCGCACAATGATTTCAATGCACGTTTACATGTTCTAGAAAAACGTCTGAATGCAGAGTACAAAAAAGCAGAGCAAACCTAACTGGGGATGGCGATTGTATTGGTGACTTGAAAAATCGTCGTTCTCGCTGACGTGAAATCCGATCTAATACACTCGCGGATCCTTGTTGTCAGGGATACTCGTTCCTTATGTTTTCGTAACGTGTAAATAAACCAATATCATACTAAACGCCAGTGTCTACGCCAATGCAACTAGCCTTCTTCGGGACCAGTGATGTGAAAAAACACTGATTGGTTTCGAGAAAATATGCTTGAATATTTGTCCGCGGACATTATGTAGATCAGCTCCGAGAAACGAACAGTTTTCCGAGAGCCAAGCTCGAGGAAAACTGTGAGCCACATGGGAGTATTGGACCAAGCGTGAGGTCAAGATGGCTGGATATTGACCGGGATCTTTTCTGCGTTTCTATGGACCGAGATGAAGTCTACATCTTATCGAGGGTTTTATTCGGACAGACGTTTATTCAAAGCCAACTGATAGGGAGCAGATATATTTGCTCAACTCTGTTGCGTTCCTTTTGTTCTCATGTCTAANATGGTATATCAGCCAATATACCATAATCTACAAATATGGCAAGCGTACGTGTCAGCTTAAAATTAAAAGGGAGCTAAAGATTTAATAAAATTTAATAATTTAATTTAACGTTTTTAATAAAACAATTATTCCACTCGTGCTTGTTGGATATGAGATGATTATAGCCAACTCGGCGCTACGCGCCTCGTTGGCTATCTATCATCTCATATCCAACGCGCGCTCGTGGAATAATTGTTAATTATTAAAAACTAGATCATTGGATAATGCAATTCAAGACTTTTTATTGGCTTAGCCATTATGGTATATCAGCCAATATACCATAATCTACAAATATGGCAAGCGTACGTGTCAGCTTAAAATTAAAAGGGAGCTAAAGATTTAATAAAATTTAATAATTTAATTTAACGTTTTTAATAAAACAATTATTCCACTCGTGCTTGTTGGATATGAGATGATTATAGCCAACTCGGCGCTACGCGCCTCGTTGGCTATCTATCATCTCATATCCAACGCGCGCTCGTGGAATAATTGTTATATATATACATATATATATATTATAAGTTAACAGGCCTCGAGCCAACAGAGACGCCGCGCCAGAAAGATCCAAAAGGATTCGCAGTCCAAACCTCGATACATAATAGAAGAAGTAATGTGGCACACGAGGACGGACAACTTTGAGCGGAGGAAGACATATACTCAATAAAAAATCTAAAAAGTTTAATAAAATACGTTGTTGTCTGAGACCTTCATCACTTGTAATACAATAACTTACAAACTCCTTGAATAGGTTTACAAAGAAGGCCTGAAGACACGTGGCCGGCTTCAAAACCAATTGGAATTTAAATCCTTGCGAGAGGATCCTACTATTAGACCTTTGACTTTAGTTGAGAGCTGGTGTGACAAATGGGTCAGAAAAAGGGAAATTTCAAACCAAGTAGCTAATTGGATAATTAATAAGGAAACGAAACCAGGGGTTGCCTTCGCAAATGTCAAAACCCATAAGACAGGGAACCCACTTACGGCTCATCACGTCTTGTTGCGGTACGGCAATAGAAAATGTCTCGGCCTCTACTGAATTTTACTTGCAACCATTGGCTCGTAAATTACCAACGTTCATCAAAGACAGCAGCGATCTGCTCAACAAGATCGAGGAGCTTAATCGGAATGACTCTTTTCCCGAAGGCACTCTATTGGTTTCATGGGATGATATCTCAACGTTTCCCAACATTGATAATCAACTCGGTCTTACCGCAGTGAAGAAGGCACTGAATGCCAAAGAAAATAAGCTTCCATCCACTAATTGTATTTTAGAAGCGGTAAAAATTTGTTTGAAGAGCAATCATTCGGTTTTTAAAAAAAAACTTTTTTTCTACAGGTTCATGGCACAGCCATGGCCCATGGGCCCTGGGCCCTAAGAACGCCTGCAGTTACGCAGATCTTGCCATGGATGAAATACATTTTCAGGCTAAGTTTTCTGGCCCCATGAAGCCGGCTTTGTGGTGGCGATACCGTGATGATGATTTTCAGTCTCTGGCAACAAGGTCTTCCGGCACTACGCGAGTTTACTGAATTTATAAACTCTTTATACCCCACTATAAAATTCGAATTAGTTTTTTTCTGAACGAGAGCTCCATGTGCTAGATTCAACTCTACATCTTATCGAGGGTTTTATTCGGACAGACGTTTATTCAAAGCCAACTGATAGTCAGCTCGGGTGGGTACCTCCCACTATCAAGTGCTCATGCTAAGCACGTTTTCAAAGCTATTCCTTATAACGTGGCGACGAGGTTACAAAGAAACTGCTCTGAACAAGCTTTTCTTGCCCAGAGAAAAACTGAATACAAAGGTTATCTGGTTAATCAAGGTTACCCTTCCAAATTAGTAGATGATCAGTTTCGTAAGGCCTCTACCATACCTAGAAGTGATCTACTTTGGACTCGTGCCGGATCTAAGAGCAAATTATTCCCATTCAGTGACCACATTTAATCCAAATTTACCCGCTGATGTAAGTCGCAACATTAGAAAACATCTGGGTATTTTGGAATCCAATCCCAAGTTAAAAGAGCTTTCAAATTCCATCATAGCATCCTTTCGCAGATCTAAAAACCTTAAAGAATTGTTGGCGTCATCCCGTTATGGCCCTAACATCGAATGCAAAGGGGCTACTGAGGTTAAGGGATGTTCAATTAAATGTACTAGAACAAGATGCGATCTTTGTCGCAACTTCTTGGTTGAATCTAATTCCTTTTTAAGTTTTCAAACAGGCAAAAGTTACAAGATGCGATCGAAACTTTCCTGTGATTCTAAGGACATCATTTATTTGGCTTCGTGCGAGAAATGTCCCCTACAATACATTGGTTCCACAACAAATAACTTTAGAGTTAGATTTCGTAACCACAAGTCTGATATGGTCACTGAGAAAAAGGCCTGTGAAGTAGCGGTAGATTTCAACAAAACACCACCTGATTTAAGCGATTTCTCATTCCAATGCATTGATCAAGTGCAGGCGACCGTAAACAATTCAGGTAACATCGAGAAACTTTTAATTACCAAAGAAGCATATTGGAGCGCAGAGTTGTTCTCTCAGGCACCTTTCCGCTTGAATAAGCGCCAGGAATTTTACTCCAAAAGAAAGAATAAACTATTATTAATGTGGAGAATTTTTTCAAATTGGGCGGGCATCAAAAGTCCCGGTCTCAACTTTGACTGGGAATTTTGGTACAATTCTCGCCTCATTTCAACGCTGGTTCCTTAATATTTTTTAATTTCTATGTTTGTTTTTCCCGTAGATTGTGATAATTTTTCGCGTAGTAATTACTGTCTTAGTTAATACGTGTCATCACGCCGTCTTTGTAAACCTATTCAAGGAGTTTGTAAGATATTGTATTACAACTGATGAAGGTCTCGGACCGAAACGTGTTTTATTAAACTTTTTTATTGAGTATATGTCTTCCTTCGCTGGAAGTTGTCCGTCCTCGTGTGCCACATAACTTCTTATATATATTATATTTATATATATACAATATATGATATATATATATATATTGAAAAAACAAACAAACAAACAAATGAACCAAAACGAAAAACGAAAAACAAAAACAGCGTTGAATAACCACACTGATGATCCCGTAGTTTTGTCTTTTGTATCGTTTTGCTTGACGCACCGAATTAACGGCTCCGTTTTCTTGCTGTTTGCTCCCGTCAAAGAACCTATCAGACTTGGAAGCGCAGCACATAACAGAAAACATTTTCAACAGCATGCATCCAATCGGGCTTCAGGCCAGAGCGTTAGTGATCTCTGGAATGACATTCTAGGGTAATCAAATCCTTCAGCAGTAGGGTTCGACACATGCAAAACAACTCACTTGAATTTGGAATTAAGTCGATTTATAAGTATTCCGACAAATTTCCGGGTTTTTTTGTTTTTTTTTTGTTTTAATTTGTTTCGTAACAGACTGCCTTATAAGTTGATGTTAATAAGTTGATGGTATTAAGCAAGGCAGGTTGTTTTATCATAAAACTTGAGAATCAGGGGGGTCTCCCCAGCACATCAGAAACCCCTCTCTTCTTACAATTTTTCAGGAATTCGCTAATGTAATCATAAGATCGAAGAGATAAAGGAAAAACGAGCTCCTCTGAACAGTCAAGGGACTCGACGAATGGATAGCCTACGAGCCAGACCCTTATTAGTAGCGTTGCATGCAGGACGAGAGGAAGATTGGGGAAGAGTTGGGAGAGGTCTGCCAGGAGCCCGCTGACATTTGATCCGATCGGATATGTTTCTTACACTGCTGCCAATGAAAACACCTGAATGCGATCATTAAACGTGTCCGCGACATAAAGATGACCTTTTTTGTCCACAGCGACTCCTGCAGGAAACATCATCAATCCATCCCCTTGACCTTTTCCACCAAATTTAGTGGCAAAAGTTCCATTTGGATGAAACATCTGCACTCGGTGGTTACTTCGATCCGCAACGACATATTGCCCCTGGTCATCTACGGTAACACCCGCCGGATTGTTCAGTAACCCGTCGGCATTCCCACGAGAGCCAAACTGGAGGACGACTGAACCGTCCTTGTTAAATACACACACCTTGTGATTATTATAGTCTGTCACCACAATGTGACTGTCTTTGCTTACGGCTAACCCCCATGGGCATGACATTTCCTTGGACACGATCATACCCCTAGGGATCCCCTCACGGGAAAAAATTTGGATTCTGCTATTTCCGGAGTCGGCAACGTAGATAACGTCATCCGAGTCAATAGCGACACCAAGCGGGTTTTTGAACCTTCCGACTTCATCGCCGAACCCTCCGAAGCATTTCACCAGTCTACCCGATGGTGTGACGATCTGCACACGATGGTTTTGACTATCTGAAACAACGATTAGGTTTCCTCGCCGATTTAGCGCCAAGCAGTATGGAAAGTTAAAATGTCCTTCGACCATTCCCTGCGATCCAAAGGATTTGAGAACCTCTCCATTCAAAGAGAGAATTTTAACTCTATGATTATGCGAATCTGCCACCAAAAGATGATCGTGGGAATCGGCGATCACACTGTACGGGTGAGAAAATCCTCCACAATCTTCGCTCTTTAAAATAAGCTGACTGCCTATCCAGTCTCTTGGTCTCACTGTGACTGTGATAGGACTATCCGCCACAGGACTCCCATTAATACTGACATGCAGCCAGTAGGTGTCTGGTTTGTTGATAACGTAAGCCAAGGAGTACGTGCCATCTTTGTTGTCCTGGTAACCATATTTAAACCCGACGTTATCTGGCGTCACCCTTGAACGAGCCAATGAGAATGACAGCTTTACTTTGTCTCCTCCTCGTTGCTGTCTTTTTCCTTGTTGATTGACAGAAGTCAAAGACAGTCGATTGACTTCCCCAGTGATCACGTGTTGGGTCTCTTTGGCGGGAGACAAAATGCATAATGCAGGCTCGCAAGGCGTACTTGAAGACTGCAATTTTACGTGACCTAAATGGTGTATATCGTTGGTAATTTTCTCGCTCTCTGCCACAAATTCAAGCGAGGTGTGCACTTCATTTCTGGGATGATAGGTAGTAGAATTCCGTTCAACTTCGCCGACAAGCGAGGTTAAACGTTGAATAACAATTTGGCCAACGCTTAATATTTCCACATCAGTGCCTTGTTTTACGGCAGAATCAGTGAACATACAACAGCTCTTTGCATGTTTCACAGTCCGTTGTAGTACCTTTTGTTTTGACAACAAAGCCTCCAACTTGGTGCTACAATGAGACTCGACCTCGTTTACAAGTTCATTCATGCGATCTTTCATCGCTTCGATCAGTTTCTGAAAATACTCCTCTATACCGAGTCGAATCTGCTTCTTCTTGTTTTCAACCATAGAAATATCTTCTTGAATAAGTGAAATTTGTTCAGTGATGTACTTCTGCTTTCCTTTTAACTGCTCGGCAAGATTCGCCATGTTAACTTTGAATGTTTTGGTGATATCAGTGATTCTGCGACTTTCATGTTGCTCGTGTTCAGAGCGCAAGCACAATCGACAAACAATCTGTGAGCAAGTTTGACAGAAATAAACTAATCGCTCTTTCACATGGATAGAACAAAATGATTGTCTTTGATGATAACTTTCTTTAAAATTTTGTCCTCTTAGCTCCTCCACCGACTGTAAAATATGAGTTTTAGTAGCACTCATTCGGCGGTGTGCTGTAGAACAAAATTCGCATAAGAAAAGGAAACAATCGTTGCATCTTGTCGTAACGCTTTCTCCTTCGACTTCGCAGCTATCACAGACAAATTCCAGCGGAGTATTATCTTGTACAGCTGCCTTTTTGACCAGGTTGTTCGCAACAAAATCGATAGGAAACTCGCTGTGTGCATCGAACGCTTTTGAGCACACTAAACAACCTGGTAAGTTTCCAGTTCTTGGCGAAATCTTTTCACCGTCGATGCACTTTTTACACAGCGTATGAAGACATGGAAGCAATACTGGTGACACGAATCTTTTCTGACAACCAGGACAGAGTAAATTGTCGGAATTCGGCAGCTCGTCGGCAAATTTCACCTTCATTCGTTGCGCCTTTGCCATCACTGATAACCATAAATTACTGCGCCCTCTTCGAATTACAAAGTTCTTGACGAGTTGCTCGATTCCTTTAGAAGGGACCTCAACGTCATCGGTTTCAAACTTCAAATATAACTTTAAAAGCTAATAAAAGAAGGGATTAAACAAATTCGACGCTTGTTTGTCGAATCATCCATGACAAGTGTCAAGTATATTGAAATTTTAATTTTTAAGAACGCCGTAAACAATAAAACAAAAGAACTCGTTTTGACAAGTTGGTGAAACTTTGCAAGGAATACAATAACTTTTTCATTAAGTGAATTAATCATCCATAACTTTTGTAGTGACTTAAAAGTCACTCTTTTATACAAATGAATAAAGGCTGATAGTTTCGAAAGAAACTGTTTGGGGCTGCGTCGGTGGGAGTAACGAAATAATTTGGATATATCAACAAAGTTGAAATGGTAAATTGGCCACCGTAACGATTACAAAAGCTGACGTTTCGAGCGTTAGCCCTTCGTCGGAGCGAATAGAGGAATTGTGGGTTGTGTGTGCTTTTAAAGGCAGAAAATGGAGCTACGTTATTGGTGGGAACATGGCAACGAGAAAAACA